AAGTGCTTAACCATTTGCGCCACCCAGGGATTCCTTTTATAGTATGAGTTCTACATAATTAAGAGGATACTGAATGTGATTGTGTAGCCTATGTGTAAACTTAACGTTATGTCGTAGGCATGCGCTGTCAATACAGAGTCCTTCCAAATGTTACTAATGCTGCTAGCAAGCCCCTGAATTTTTTTAAATTTTTTTTATTGTACTTTAGATGAAGGCTTACGGAGCAAACTAGTTTCTCATTAAACAATTAATACACATATTGTTTTGTGACATTGGTTGCCCACCCCATGACATGTCTACTCTCTCCCCCTCTCCACCTTGAGTTCCCTATTACCAGCTTTCCTGTCTCCTCCTGCCTTCTTGTCCTTGTCCCTGGGCTGGTGTGTTTAGTCTCGTTTTGTTTTATGGGCCTGTCTAGTCTTTGGCTGAAGGGTGAACCTCAGGAGTGACTTCAGTACTGAGTTATAAGGGTGAAGTCCCTGAAATTGTTGATCGGGTCAACGATGACTCTCATCCAAAGGACCTTTTCCTGTCATCCTCTCGTAGCACCTGGCACTAACTGACCGGTTTTTTTCTTGATATGTCCTCACGGTTGAGTTTCTGCTGCCTCTCTCGCTTCCCCGTAGATTCAGCCCCCTGCCTCGCCACTAAGTATAGGAGCTGCACAAGGCGTGGTCTCTGATCTTCTCATTCTATGATCTCTTAGCTTATCTCATCCCTCCACAATGATGACTCACACATTAGTTTCCACCCCAGTCCTCTCAGAACCTGTCTCACTGCTGACTAGGCCTTTCTCTCGGAGGTCTCAAAGGCATCTCGAAGCCACATGTCCACAAATGAACTCAAGAGCTTCCCCAAGCCTGGTCCCCTTCCAGCATTAGCCAGCCTGAAGACGGTTCTCAAGCCAGAAACCCAGAAGTCCATCCTTGACCTTTCGTTTCTCCCACTCCATCCGTATAGCCTGTGAGTGGCCAAACCCGTAAGTGTTACCCCTTACGTGTCTCCTAAATCCATCCACTGTTCCCTACCTCAACCACTGGGCCAGCGAGTATGAGTGTACACTGCATAATGCCACCACCTCTTGCCTATTCTACAATACCTGCCAACTCATCTCCTCGCCTTTTGGTCTCTCCGAGCCATCTTCCAACCTGCAGCCAGAGTGATCTTATTAAAATGCAAATCTAATCATATTGCTCCTTTGCATAATTGCTCTTAAGGCATGGCCTGGCCTACATCTCCTGAGTCACCGCCCATCAAGACCCCTGGTTTTTCTGCATGGCCTGGCTGCTTGCTACCCCTCCATCATCCCTCAGCTCCATCCACCCTGGCCTTCCTACAGCTACTCAAATGACCGCAGGTGCCCTACTGACCCACAAGGCCTTTGAATGTGCTGCACCCTCTACCTGCAATGTTCTTCCTGCCTGTGGTCTCCTCCGGAATCTCAAGACAAGCTCCCCAACCACACGCTCACACTGAGACTCCCCCTCTCCTGTAGAGCATTGATCACAGCGCGCTTTAAGTTCTAGCACTCATTTGTGTAAATCTTTGACCAACAGTGCCTTTGACGTTGGTAAGCATCATAATGGTAAGAATTATATTTTTTTCTTTTACTTGCTGTTGAATCACCAGTAACTAAAACACAAGACCAGCAGCTGCTCAATAAACATTTGTTGAACAAGTGAACTACCTAACTAATGTGCTGTGATATAGTTTTGCCATTTTTGTCACGAAATATTAAATGCCTACCTCATCCTACTTTTAGGTTTCCTGGGTTTTGCCATTATAAAATGTTATAATAAATGCCTTTCAACACAAAATTACTTTTTCTTCCTTTAAATCATTTTCTTAGGATAGAGTCCCAGAAGTTAAACTACAAAGTTAAAGATAAAGGCTCTTAGTCCGGTCAAAGACAAAAAGTCAGAGCAGATATCTTGCTTTGATTCTGGGGTTATCTTACCCACGAAACCAAATATTCACTTCAAAGAAATCCCAGACCAAAATTAATCCATCAGCGGCTTTTCTTTCACCCAAAGTTGCAAACCATTTGTTTCCTGTTGGAAGTCAGGCTTACTAAATTTGAATTTCAAAAGATATGGCTGGGTGGAGGGCCAGAGACCATCCAGTGACCTGACACCAGCTGATCTCAGTAAAACGGGCAGGGCAGGGTTCAATCAATCATGTTGTTAGCCAACGGCTGAACTTCTATATTTCTCCCTCCTCGTCCCTTTATAAGCCTCGTTGTACCGAGCTTCTTTGAGCCATTTTTTCTGGTATCAAAATGGTCTCCCTATATGTATATAGAGTAACTGCTCAGAATAAACCTTACGTTCAAATTTTGTTGTTTTAATTATTTTTAACAGTCCCCATCTGATGAAAAAAAATTTGTTTTAATTTGCATTTGCTTGGTGAAAGTGAACAGTTCTTATTTTGTAGCCATCTGTATTTCTTCATTGATAAAAGTTTGTCCTATGTTCTTTGCTTATTTATTCAAATCTTAATTTAAAAAAATTAAACTATATAAGCTTTTAGGGTGAGGATTTGTCTATCATACCTCATGTAAATTATTTTTCCCAATTTTTGGTTTTTAGTTTACGTGCTGTTTGACATATTAGATACTTAAACTGCAGTCAAAGATTTTTGACCTGTTCTTTATGAGTTCTCACACTGTTTTTCTATCTACCCATGGTTCTGAAAGTGTGGTCTCTGGGCCAGCACATGAGTATGACCCAGGTGCCTGTTAGAAGTGCAAAGTCTGCTCCACTGCAGACCTATTAGAGGGAGCCCTAGTGGCACAGTGTTTAAGTGCTCAACTGCCAACCAAAAGGCAGATGGTTCAAACCCACCAGCAGCTCCTGGGGAGAAAGACGTGGCAGTATGCTTCCGTAAAGATTAAAGCCTTGGAAACCCTGTGGGGCAGTTCTACTCTGTCCTATAGGGTCGCTACGAGTCGGAATCAACTTGACAGCAATGGGTTTGGTTTTTGGTATTACTCAGGGACTCTGAGCCCAGCCATCTGTGTTCACAAGTCCTCTAGGTGATTCTGATGCATAAGAAAGGCCTTCCTCACCTAAAAATTCTTCTGAGCTTTGCATTTTGGTATATGATAGTACAGTGAAAAACTAAATTACTGTTTCTTCCAACTCCCCATTAATTTATGATTCTTCATCCTGTATTAAGTTTTTATAAACATTCAGGTTTGCCTCTGTGCTTTTTTTAACAGCTTTATTAAAATATATTTCACGTACCATTATATTTTTTTAACAGCTTTATACAAAATATATTTCACATACCCATTAAAGTGTACAATTCAGTGGTTTTTAATGTATTCACAGAGTTGTACAACAACCATCACTACAATCTAACTTTACATTTCAACACTCCAAAAAGAAACCCCAGATCCATTAGCACTCACTCCTCAGTCCTCTCGCCCCAGGCAACCACTCATCTACCTCCTGTCTCTATGAATTTGCCAAGTGAAGACATTTCCTACAAGTGAAAATACAATATGTGGTCTTTTGTGACTGGCTGCTTGCACTGTGCATACTGTTTTCAAGATTCATCCATGTGATAGCAGGTGTCAGGACTTCGTTCTCCTTTATGGTTGACTAGTTCACTGTATGATACACCACATTTTATCCATTAATCAGCTGATGCACATTTACTCCTGTTTAATTTTCTGGTAGAGACTGAGTAAAACTGACATTAAATGTTTGGTAGAATTCGTCGGTGAAACTATCTGGGCTTGGAGGTTTTTTGCGTGGTTTTTAGTGAAAATTCAATGTTTAAAATATTTATTTCTTCTTGAGTCCATTTTGGTAGTTTCTGTCTTCCTAAGGATTTTTCTAGTTCATCAAAGTTATATAATTGGTTAGCATACATTTCTTCATGGTAATCCCTCGTTACCATATTTGTTTCTGCAAAATCAGTAGTACTGCCCCTTCATCTTTCCTGATTTGAGTAATCTGAGTCTTCTTTTTTTCTTGGTGAGTCTAGCTGAAGTTTGTCAATCTTGTTGATCTTTTCAAACAATCAACTTTTGGTTCATTATTGTCTCTACTGTTTTTCTTTCCTCCATTTATTTCCACCCTAGTCTTTATTACTTCATTCCTTCTGTTTGCTTTATTTTGTTCTCTTTTTCCAGTTTCTTAAGGTGGAAAATTACTGATATGAGGTATTTCTTCTTTTTTAGTGTAGACATTTGCGGCTATAAATTTCCCTCTAAGCACTGCCTTAGCAGCATTCCGTAAGTTTTATTACGTTCTGCTTTCGTTTATATCAAAGAATTTTCTAATTTCCCTTGTGATTTGTTTAATTTCCACATTTTGTGAATTTTCCAAATGTTCTTCTGTTGTTGATTTCTAATTTCATTCCATTGTGGTAACAGAACATACTCCATATTATTCCAAACCTTTTAAATTTATTGAGACTTGCTTTATGGCTTAACATATGATCCTGGAGAATGTTGCATGTGCACTTGAGAACAACGTGTATCCTGCTGTTCTTGGGTCGAGTACTCACTCTATAGCGATCTGTTTGGTATAGTTAGTTGGTTTATAGTGTTGCTCAGATTTACTTTCTTACTGATCTTCTGCCTAGTTGTTCCACGGAGTATTGAAGTCTCCAAATATAATTGTTGAATTGCCTTTCTTCCTTCAATTATATCAGGTTTTGTTTCACAAATATTTAGGGCTGTTTTTTAGGAGCATATACGTTTCTAATCATTATATCTTTCTGGTAAATTTACCCTCTTATCATTATAAAATGTCCTTGCTTTTCTCCAGTAACAATTTTTATCTTAGTGTCTATTTTTTTTTTTTTTTATATTAGTATCATATAACTGCTCCAGCTCTTTTTTGGTTACTCCTTCCATAACCAAAATTAAACCAAACCCACTGCCATCAAGTCGATCCTGATTCATAGCAACCCTATAGGACAGACTAGAACTGCCCCATAGGGTTTCCAAGGCTGTAAATAAATCTTTATCGACAAAGACTGCCACCTCTTTCTCCTGCGCTCCTATCTTTATTCACCCTTTTATTTTCTATCTGTCTTTGAATAATGCTCTTGAAGACAGCATATAGTTGGATCATGGTTTCTTTTTTGTCTTTTGTTTTGAATCCCTTCTGTCTTCTCTTTCTCTTGGCTGGAGTGTTTAACCCATTTAAGTAATTTCCTATAGGGTAATTGCTTTTTGATAGACTCTTGAATTGCCATTTCTTTTTCTACCTTCTATTCCTTGTTGCCTATTCAATGACATAATCTCCAAAGACTTTTTAAGTAGTAGACTGAAGGTAATCTTGAAGATGTGATGGGTTCAAAAAAAGAAAATCTGATTTCTGTGATACTTTGTCACTATCCCATGTCACAACAGACGTTAAGTATTTTGATTATACCATTTATAAATAAGTATGGTGCCCAGCTTTCAACAAAGAGGGTGTGTAGATCATACTATTTATGGAGATTTTATTTCAGCAGGGAGTAGATGGAGTTACAAAATACCTGACATATGAGGAAGAGATGGGTCTGACAGGGCTGAGAACCATGGGATTAGAAGCATCTTTAAAATAGACAGCCAAAAGAAAATTAGTGCTCCAAGTCTTTACAAAATATTATTTTATTAGTTCAATTTTTAGGATAAAGGAATTTAAAAGTATCTATGACAACTTTCAAAGCAAAAAACTATTCAGCATTTAATAATCTTTTCACTTAGAAAAAACTTGAACCTTAATGAACAGACTGGGTAAAGTAGCCAGGGCTACGAGAGTGAAGGAAGACGGAGACCTGCTGTATGTGTAGGGACAAGAGGCTTGAACGGTTACTTTTTCACATACACACAAAAAAAATTATACTCATTGTTTCAAAGTTTGTTGGCGAGACTAAGTACTCAATGCCATCATATGGCAATTCCTCTTGTAGAAGAAAATTTTACTCTAATCCAACCCATATATTACCTTCCATGGTAATCAGAATGGGAACAGAATGAGATCTAGTGCAGCAAAGATTCAATTCAATTTCCTAATGGGTTGGTACTAAGCAAAAATTTACAGAGGTTGATGCAGTATTTTAAAATAACTGACAATTATGACAACCTAATTGTGTTCAAGAGATGTTATGTTAAGAAAGGAATCAAGTTCTCATCTTAAAGGAAGCAGATACATTTACCTCAGGGAAGTATAACTCAGTGTGGCTGCTCCACAAACACCACCACTGGTCCATAAGAGGAAGAGGCCCAGATAGTCATTCCTGTGTGACACCCTCATGAACAGCATTCTAGGAAGTCTTACTAATTATAATTCAAAACTACCAATTAAATTCTAATAATGATTGTGTGCCCTCCCCCCAAAAAAGAAAAGAAAAAGATTTCCTCTCAGAAATACAACTAGGAAAGGGAGTGACTTCTGGAAAGAAATCCTGAGGCTGAATCCCAGGCTCTAAAAGAGAAATGCTTTCTCCTCACTCCAGGCTCAGGACTTGTGTCCCCATGTTTTACCTTAGAGTCTGCTCTATATGAAACAGAATTTGTGAAACTTGTCCTTCGAAAAGTCACAGTGGAGTCCAAGAACTTCTGGGGCATACAGTTTTTGTCCTTCAGCATTCTGAAGTCAGATAATCTCAACGTCCAGAAATATCCTTTGATCTGTTCTTTCTCTGATATCTTGTGTCCTTGGGATCAAAGCCTCTTTCATGGGCACCAAATAATGCCCACTGAGGAGTTTTGGCCATATAATCCTTTGCGCAGAAAGTTTTTGATCCACTGCTATTTTCATATTCTTGGATGAGCTCCTGGAAGCGATTATAATCGATCCACGTCCACCATTCTCTATCAATCTTAAACTAGAAAGAAAGGAAAAAAATGTTAGGTCAGAAGCAAAAGGTCTTACACAAAAACATCCATAGAGAAAAGATCAAATAAATACAAAAAATCAAAAGTGAACCCAATCTTTTCTCTCTATCATGTTAAAGAAAATTCTTTCCTCTTCCAGATATGGTTCCACAACAAAGCAGTGCGTATGATAGTCAAAGGAGAGTTTCTTTTCCCCTGGGACTGCTGCCACACCAACCCTGGAAGACCTAATTGCTGAATGAAGAATTCTTCCTGCAACTGGAAGTTAAGTTTATCTTGAGCAGTATCAGGTACAAAGGGTTAAACTTTTAGGCATTATCATGTGTTGATAGCCAACCTATTTTAAATTCCTGTTGTTGCCACTTTCTACCTGGTATGCATTTTCATGGTTGTGTTTGCAGAACATAGTGGAATAAAAAATCTTTTTCATCACTAAACTTTGCTTGTGTTTTGGGTGATCCTTTAATCAATGACTTTTCATTCTGAAAAGCTAACTAAATGACTTAAAATAGTCTTTTTACTCAAACATGGATATATTGTCTGTGATCATTAAGGTTACGTGTCAACTTGGCTGTGCCATGATTCTCAGTGGTTGGCACTTATGATGCAGTCTGGCAGTCGTATACTGATGTGATCACCTCCATGATGAAATCTGATATAAAGTAATCACCTTCATAATGGGATCTGCTGTGAGTAGCCAGTCAGTTGAAAGAGAGTTTCCTTGGGAGTGTGGCCTGCATCCAATATAGGTGGACTTTTTGGCAAGGCTCATGGGCTTTTGCACACTCTGGATCCTGCAGCTGGCTCTTGTCCATCTGGTCTCCGGTTCTTGGGATTCATCGGTCTTTGCAGCCTGTGAGCCAGAGCCCTGCTGTCTGATTTGCCATTCTTGAGTCTGCCAGCCCTTGTAGCTATGTGAATCAGGAGAAGCCTCTAGCCTGACCCAGGAATTAGGACGTTCCAGCTTCTACAACTACGTGAGTCAGTTCCTTAATATAAATCTCTTTCTATATATATTTATATGCTTTACTGGTTTTGCTTCTCTAGAGAACCCAGCCTAAGACAATGCCTAATTAGTCAAAAGTCTCATTAAGAATTCCAAATCAATAAAGGGAAATAATCTAATTTGTACTCTTTTAAGAAAACTGCTTCTCAAAAGACACTGTAGAATAGTGGCCAGGAATGAAGAAACAGAAAGTTTGAAGAGGCTCTAATTAATTAAAATGTGAAGGATTTTTTTTGTTTTGTTTTTTAGAATTTTTTTTTTTGGGGGGGGATAAAATATAGGTAACACTTGCCAATTCGATAATTTTTACATGTACAAATTAAGTGACATTGACTACATTCATTATGTTATGCAGCAATCACCACTATCCTTTTCCAAATTATTCCACTACCATTAACAGAAATTCAGTGCCCTCTAAACCAGTCACCACTATCCTACTCCTGGTAACCACTTCTATAAATGTTTGGGAGAGTTCCCAGTGAAGGCATCTGGTCCAGGACTTCTTTTTTTTTTATGGGTTTTTTGGTGTGTGTGTATGTGCTTTAGGTGAAAGTATACAAAGCTAATTAATTAGTTTCCTAATCGATATTTGTACATAAAGTGTTCCATGACATTGGTTTCATTCCCTACAATGTGTCAGCACTCTTCCCATTTCTGCTCTAGGTTCCCCATTTCCTTTTGTCAGGATTTTCTACCCTGTCCTGCCTTCTCATCTTTGCTTTTGCACAAATATTGCCCTTTTGATCTCATATAATTGATTGTTCTAAGGAGCACATTCCTCTTGGGTGTTACTGTTTATTTTGTGGGCCTGTCTATTGTTTGGCTGAAAGGTAGTCTCTGGGAATGGCTTGAGTTCCAGGTCAGAAGGGTGACTTAGGGCCACAGTCTTGGGGGTTCCTCCAGTCTATGTCAGACTAGTAAGTCTGGTATTTTTTGTGAATGTGATTTTTTGTTCTACATATTTTCTCCCACTTTGTCTGGGACCCTGTGTCATTATCTGAATCAGAGTGCTCGACAGTGGTAGCCAGGTACCATCTAGTTCTTCTGTTCTAGCAGTTGTGTAGGCTGTGGCTCATGTGGTCCATTAGTCCTTTGGATTAATTGCTCCCTTGAGTCTTTGGTTTTCTTTACTCTCCTTTGTTCTAGATAATAAGACACCAATAGTTGTATCTTAGATGGCCACTCGCAACCTTTTAAGACGCCAGATGCTACTCACCAAAGTAGGATGCAGAACACTGTCTTTATGAACTACGTTGTGCCAATCGACATAGATGTCCCCGAGCCTATGGTCCTCCACCTTTGAGCCTAGGAACTTCTTGACTATGACCTTTGTGTGCTCTATAATCTGTATTAATGTACATGCAGCACCTACAATTATGTATGTAGAAATATCCACAACCAAACCTGTATTTGCAGGTGGGTGTGCTCCCTTACACCTTCCCATACCTCTCTAGCATACCTATCTACCTATGTATCCATTCATGAATTACTGTTTGTTAATGTAATTGTTGCAGGATTATCTGTTTTAGTTATAGTTGCCCTTTATTCTTGCATCCCTCTCAGTTTCTTCCTTTGCCTTGGTCATGTTGTGCTGACTTTCCCATATTGTGTATTGCTTTTCCCTTCACCAATATTAACACGTCTTCTATCTAGTTGATAATTTTCCCTCCTTCCCCCTCTCATCCCTGGTAACCATCAAATAATTTTTTTTTTTCTGTGTATAAACCTTTTCCTGCTTTTTTCTTTAAAGTAGTGGTCTCATACAATATTTGTCCTTTTGTGATTGACTTATTTCACTGAGAATAATGTCCTCCAAATTCATCCATGTTGTGAGATGTTTCACAGATTTGTCATTACTCTTTATTGTTGCGTACAATTCCATTGTGTGTATGTAATAGTGTTTTTTTTTAAGGCAACATTATTTTATCTTTCCACAAAAGAAGAGGGGAAGGAAAAAGGGCAAATTTCAGGAATTTTATACCAGTGAGTTTCATTAACATTTAATAATGATATACTAATAGTCAACTTGAATGCACTTAGAAAAGAAGTGATCACTGGGACCTAACATATAAGAATAAGTAAATTCAAAAGCTTATTTTTAATAAGAGTAATCAATCAAGGGAATGGTGCGAACACCATTATGTATTTGGATTTCACTACAGCATGATATATATACATTTGTGGACTTCTGTAAGATAGATCGGAGCTACAATAATAATTTAAAGACTTAAATTCATCTGATGAAACCACAGGACTTTGTTCTTGGCCATGTGGTATTTTTGTCAACTATATATATATATATATATATATATTTGGAAACCCTGGTGGCATAGTGGTTAAGAGCTATGTCTGCTAACCAAAAGGTCAGCAGTTAGAACCCACCAGGTGCTCCTTGGAAACTCTATGGGGCAGTTTTACTCTGTCCTATAGGGTCGCTATGAGTCGGAATCAACTCAACGGTGATGGGTTTTTTTAATATATATACTTTATTATTGTACTTTATATTTTTTATTGTACTTTAGAAGAAGGTTTACAGAAAAAACTAGCTTCTCATTAAAGTTAGTATACATATTGTTTTCTGACATTGGTTACTAACCCTACAACCTGTCAACACTCTCCCTTCTCGAACTTGGGTTTCCTATTACCAGCTTTCTTGTCCCCTCCTGCCTTCTAGTCCTTGCCCCTGGGCTGGTGTGCCCCTTTAGTCTTGTTTTGTTTTATGGGCCTGTCTAATCTTTGGCTGAAGGGTGAACCTCAGGAATGACTTCATTATTGAGTTAAAAGAGTGTCTGGGGGCCATACTCTCGGGGTTTCTCTCATCTCTGTCAGGCCAGTAAGTCTGGTTTTTTTTTTGGTGAGTTAGAATTTTGTTCTACATTTTTCTCCAGCTCTGTCCTGGACACTTTATTGTGATTCCTGTTGGAGCAGCTGCTGGTGGTAGCCAGGCACCATCTAGCTGTGCTGGATTCAGTCTGGTGGAGGCTGTAGTACTTGTGGTACATCAGTCCTCTGGACTAATCTTTCCCATGTGTCTTTGGTTTTCTTCATTCTTCCTTGCTCCAGATTGGGTGAGACCAGTGGAGTATCTTAGATAGCTGCTCACAAGCTTTTAAGACTCCAGACGCTACTCACCAAAGTAGACTGTAAACTACTTCTTTATAGACTATGTTTTGCCAACTGAGCTAGATATTCCCCGAGACCATGGTCCCCACAGCCCTCAGCCAATAATTCGGTCCCTCGGGGGATTTAGAAGTGTCTATAGAGCTTCCATGACCTTGCCTTGGACAAGTTGTGCTGGCTTCCCCAGTATGGTACACTGTCTTACACTTCACCAAAGTTACCACTTATCTATTGTCTATTTAGTGTTTTTCCATCCCACCCCTCTCCTCCCTCGTTAACATCAAAGATTGTTTCTTATTGTATAAACTTTTTCATAAGTTTTTATAGTAGTGGTCTCACACAGTATTTGTCCTTTTGTGACTGACTTATTTCACTCAGCATAATGCCCTCCAGATTCATCCATGTTGTGAGATGCTTCGCAGATTCAGCATTGTTCTTTATCGTTGTGTAGCACTCCACTGTGTCTAAGTACCATAGTTTGTTTATCCATTCATCTACTGATGGGCATCTAGGTTGTTTCCATCTTTTTGCTCTTGTGAACAATGCTGCAATGAACATGGGCGTACATATGTCTATTCATGTGACGGCTCTTATTTCTCTAGGATATATTCCTAGGAGTGGAACTGCTGGATCTTATGGTATTTCTAGCTTTCTAAGGAAGTGTCGTATCATTTCCCAAAATGGCTGTACCATCTTGCATTCCCATCAGCAGTGCTTAAGAGTTCCAATCTCCCCGCAGCCTCTCCAACATTTGTTATTTTCTGTTTTTTTGATTTGTGCCAGTAATGCCAGGGTGTGTACCACTGTTTATTAATCCATTCATTCATTGATGGGCACTTACGTTGTTTCCATCTTTTTGCTATT